TTTTTTCATGAGAATTGACACAGTGTGGGACATGCTATGAATGTGAACTTGGTATCTTTCCTCAGTAAATTGGATGATGTTAGAGGTTCTATTTTGCTTATTTGGTTCTTTTCTTGAAGATATTAAATCCTTGTGTTAAAATTGTTATGGAAGACAGGGTGTTGGAGTCTTTCTGTGAGGGACTGAGGCCTTGCTGTTTTCCATATATGTTTCAGAGTGCGAATTTTGTCCCCATTAAAGTCTTCATTAGAAACTCCTTTAAGATCATGGACATTATGTGCAAACTGTATAATGTGTAATGTCTTTTTATGTGTGTATTTTTTACCTTAGTGAAGAGAGGACTTACAAAGTACATAACCTGTCTGAAGGATTTTATGAATGATCCCAAAAGAGAAGAACCTCTAGTTGGTATGTTTTTTTGTTTTATAAATTGTGTGCCTTTGAATTTGTAGCCAAATAGCTTTTTGAAATAAAAGATGGCATTTTAGATACTGTTTCATTTTCTGGAAATATATTCAATAACTTATAGGATAATATCTATCTCATACTTCTAAATGTTAGCTTGTTGCACTGCATATTGTGAAGGCCACTTCTTTTATACACTGTTAATACAACTCGTTCCTGAAGGAGCCATCTAAGGAAACAAGCTGTTCCCAGACCACAGAATTGGTCTTAACCCTGCTGCTCAAGTCCCAGAGGAGTTTGCCTGGGACCATGTCTAGGCAGCTTTTGGATATCTCCAAGGTGAAAAACTCTACAGTCTCTCAGGGAAACCTGTGCCAGTGCTCGGTCATCCTTGCAGTCAAGGCATGTTTCCTGATGTTCGGACAGTGTCTCCTGTTCCAGTTGTGCAATTGCCTCTTGTCCTGTTGCTGGGCACCACTGTGAAGAGCCTGGCTCCCACTTCTTTGCACCTTCCCTTCAAATATTTATGCACATTGATGAGATCCCCTCTGAGACTTCTCTTCTTCAGGCTGAACAGTTCCAGCTCTCTCAGCTGTTTCTCATAGGAGAAATGTTCTAGTACCTTCATCATTTTCATGGTCCTTCACATGTCCATGTCTCTTGTACTGGGAAGTCCAGAACTTGACACAGGCACTCCAGGATTGGCCCTACTGGTGCTGAGCAGAGCCTGCTGTCAACACTGCTCCTTTTTCTTCTCAGGGATACCCTCAGCCTTCCCTGTTTCATCTTCAACTTGGTGTCGACCAGATCTTTTCCTAATAATCTGCTTTCCAGCTAACCAGCCTTCAAGTGGCATGTGCTGGTGCCTGGGCTTGTTCCTTCCTGGATACAGGACTTGGCACTTGCCTCAGTTGGCCAGCCTGAGCTTTCTGTCAGCCCAGCTCCAGCCACTCAGGGTCTCTCTGGATGGCAGCACAATCCCCTGGTGTATCAGCCATCTCCCAGTTGTATGTCATCAGCAGCCTTGCTGGGGGTATGCAAGGGTAACAGGACTAGACCCAATATTGACCCCAGGGTACACCACTACCTGCTGGCTTCCAATTGGACTTATTGCCACTGGTGACTTATCATCAGTCATGGTTCTTTATGGCTTTCTATTTGGTGGGATGTACCAGTGTTTCTGTTCAGTGAGATATTTTTCCTGTCTGTCCTTGGGAATAGTAAAACTAATAAGATTAATTTTAAGGCTTTCTTTCTTTCTAAGTGCTAGATTAGGCAACCCTTAGGAGAGGGCAATCAATGCTGCTTCTCAGTGGCCTTAGTGTTCCAAGTATGTACTGGTCGCCTAGAGAAATACGTTCCCTCGTGAAGACCTAAGTAGCAAATTTCCTAGTATTAGGTGAAAATTTCCCTGTTTAGTGCATTGCCTTTTTGTTACTCCACAAAAACTGTTAATATTAAAAATCATAGTAATTTATTACTATAAGCATTTTTAATAGAAAACTCTTCAGTTACAAGAAGGCCATCAGTTCACTTGGTAATAGTTTATTTGCACAGCTAAGATTTAGAAGGATAATACTGTAGCAGATCCGATATGGAGTTGAATTTCTTCATAGCAGCCTGTATGTTTTGCATTTGTGACTGAAGTGGTTTTGGTGACATGCCAGTGTATTTTTTCTATTGCTGAGCAGTGCACTGTGTCAAGACTCGTTACTCTGGGTCCCCACTCCTTACCACTTAGGTAGGCTGGGGGTGGGCCGTAGGCTGGGAGGTGTCACAAACAGGACTCTTGGCCCAAACTTGAACAGGGTATGTTCTGTGCTCCGTAACATCAGCTATCTCAGTTGAGACAAAGAAGGAAGAAGGGGGGATGGAAAGGGTAGGGTGAAGCAAGATTTAACTTCCAAGGTGGCTATTCAGAGACTGTGACTGGGTATTGGTCTGCTGGTAGGGAAGAGTGCAATGGGGTTTTGCATGGGTTGCGTGGGTTCTTTTTTTTTCACTCCTCTTTCCTTCACTTATTAATCTGTCTTTAATGTCAACCCCTGGGTTTTGTTGCTTTTGTTCTTCCTGTTTTCTCCCCACTCTGCTGAAGGGTGTGTATGTGAGCGAGCAAGCAGCTATGTGGTTCTTGGCTGCTGGCTGGGGTCAAGCCATCACAAATACAGAGCACTGGAAATTATGACATAAGGGAACAGCTGCTGTTTTTAACTGCTTTTAAATTTGTTATGTTTAGGCTGTTCAGAGTAAAACCTTTCATGCTAGGTAATGAACCTCAAACTTGGAGATTTATGAATACTTCTAAGGGATAGTCTCTGTAATTTATAGGAAAAATGAAGAAAAAGCCCATTTTAAGTCTTGTGAAGTGTGAAAATTTTTAGATTAAAAAATCCCCACTCTTTAAAGACTTTAAAAAAAAGGTTTAGATTTTTAAATTTTGAAGGATTTGATTTTTTGAAGTGATTAATGTCTTTCCTACATCTACGTTGTGCTACTTGGACACTGTCCAAATTATGCTCAACTGCGTAGTTTAAATGCAGTTTTTAAATCTAGACATTTGTGTGGCATTTCTATTCTCATTCTCTTTTTTAGTTTCTTGAAAAAAGTATCCCGAGCAGGAAGAAAGGTGCATGAAATATTTTCTTTCGGTGGGCTTGCAAATCTGCCACAGATAGTGTATTTCCTTCCAGAATAAGACTTTGGAAAGAGATAAATTTAACTGATGTGGTCCTGAAGGAGTATCGAAGTTCTGCAAATGGAATATTTTTCTATGTTAATTTTGGCTTTTAATGAGCAACACTGAAGAGAATACATTTGTTTATAGTAGTATATAGTAAAATACAGATATTTATAACTCCTGATTTTACAGGTTTAGAACATGTGGTTGAAATCAGATTTGAAGGAAGAAAAGAACCGCGTTATGAGTGCAAGCTGTGTGAGCTTAATACAGAGATGGCACCCATGATAGAACATCTTAGTGGATATAAACACAGAAGAGCATACATTGTGAGTTATTTTTGATGCATTTTGATAAAAATTTCTTTATGATACCCCCCCTTTTTTTTTCTCTAAATAATTAGTTTAAAACCCCATGTGATAAATTAGTAATACTTGTACAGTTGACTCTTCATGAGTCAGATCAACATGAAAAGCTATAATGCTGTGAGCTGTTGAGGCAGTTCAATCCAGAGGTGCCTGTATCAGCTCAAATATGTGTTCATACGTGTTTGGATTGTTTTCAGGATCAGGTTCCTAGAACGTTGTGGTTCTTTCTTATTCCTCAGAATGTCCATAGCATTGCTGGATTTGGTACAGAGGATGTTTCCTTTTGGTTGCAAGCTTTGCATGGTATCCATTTTTTGTTTTGAAGCCTAATTAAGTAACTCTAAAATTTAATTAGTTGTGTTACAGAGAAAAAACTAGCTCATAATGCTTAGATCAATGTTTACCAGCCTTTTGGAAGCTTGTCCAAAAGGTGAAATGTGTCAGTTTTTTAATATTGTGATGAATTTTCATATTGACCTTTTCAAGCTGTTTTTTTCAACAGACTAAGGAATTTCCAGATAAAATGAAGAGAAAGACAACAGATGTAAAAGAATGCAAAATCTCATTTCTCAAACGGATAGCAGGAGAGCTAGAGAAGACTGAAGGATTAAAAATGTATCAGGTAATTGGAAGTAAATGTAAAGTATCTGGTAATGTGTCTTTTATTAAGTATTTATGTTTGATGTAGTTAATTTTAAAAGTACTGCAGACAAAGCTTGTTAATTTTCTTTGCCTTTCTAGGAAGTGTAGTATTCAGTTGAACTAAACCTTTACTTAAAGTTGCCGTAAAAAGTCAGGGGAAAAGAACAATGGTATTGAAATTCATCTGAAAACAAAAGTTGTTTATTTTGGAGGTTTTAAATTTTTTAAATTGAAAATGTTCAGTCTGAATTCCATGGTTCGGAAATTTCACTGCTTGACTTCAATAATTTTTAATTTTTGCAACTTAGATTTTCTCAAAGGTAAGCAAATTTTCTCTCGAGTTTCATTCATATTTACAGGATTCTATATCTCTGAAACTGTGGGCTACACTATGCTGGCATAAATTCCTAAAGGCAGTTGCAGTAGGTACTCTTTTGAAACTTTATTCAGAAAGTCTAATGTGAAGCTTTTTCTGTTTCTAGATTGAAGGTTACATAAGACCAAGTACCTCACGTAAGTCCATGAATTTCTTGAATATAATAGATTTGATGTAATTGATATTTGGCCTAATTTGACTAAGTGGTTGAAGGAAATTGCCAGACTTACAATGTTTCTTAGCCAACCTGAAGAAATACTTCCTTGCTGCCTTTTGACCCTAGTACTAATATTAGAAGGAAGATAGGTTTGATTGGAATGGGTGAAGGTTGTGTAGATCAACAGAATTTTTCAGTGTGAGTCTATTTTGGATTGATCATTAGTGGCTTCTGTGGATTGTACTTTTTAATGCTGGTCTGCAAAACAAGGTGGCAGAGAATCTTTTTGAGCTCTCTTTGTGTCTCTTGTGAAGAAGAGGGAATGTGACACAGTAATCTAGCTCAGGAATTCTCAGCTCAGGGTAAATTGACATCAGTCAAGTCAGCAGACTTCTGCAGAAGTGGAAGACATGCTCAAGTATCTACCTGGAACATCAAAAAGGGTGATCCCACCCAGACCTACAGGATATGAAGAAGTGAAGAAATGGACAATAGTGAAGTTATCTGCAAAAGCATTGTGTCATTCAGTAATAAGATTTACTCTAGTTGGGTGGTAAGGTCAACATCAAATGAATTCCAAAATAAAAATATTCTGGTTATTTAGAAAAGAATCGTGCTTACTGGTTTAGCAGCTGTATATCTTTAGACTACATCATATTGGCAAATTTCAAAACTCCATTCTGACAGCAAGAGTGAGTTTGAGGATGTAAGTAATTGAAAGGCCTTTTGGTGACATGTACTAGTTTGCAAGCGACAAAATGGGCGTTAACACCAAATTTTGGCTGCTGCACAGATCATATGCGAAACTAAGATAAGATTATATATTCTTATATATATATGTACACATGTATGTATGTATGTATAAGGGACCTTGAAGTGATTGCTTTTCTTAAAGGAAAAATGACAGCATTTCTTTATTCTCTAAAGAGGAGAGGTTATCTGTATTTTGTCTTGGGCTTTGGATTAAAAATACTGACTTATTAAGGTAATTGCTGTAGCCAGTTACTCAAAGTGAGAAGTTGAGCTTGAAGCCTTGTGACACTGTGTATAAGCACAGTTTGGTAGTAGAACATATCAGGTTCTGGTCTGATTTAGTCTCTGAATTCTGCCTGCATTTTTTTTTCCCTATCTAAAATCTACTCTTAATGCTGCTGTGGGATACAGCAACAAACTGGAAGTAAGTCCAGAGATTGGGTTGGCTATTTTGCACCAGGCTTTTGAGGTTGAAATTATAGCAGATACCTGGAAAAGCCTATCTGTATCTTCAGTGGGGAAGTGATAACTCTGTGAGTCAATACAGGATGGGAAGTGATAGACTGGTCAGTCTTGCTAAAGAAAGAAGGTTGCAGTGAATGCCAAGCTGTATATGAGCCAAGAGAACACTTTCATTTCACCCAAGGCAAATCTCATATTGTGATACTGCAGGATGAGCACAGGCAGAAGATTGGAGAACAGTCTTATCCCCTATTATTTGGTACTGGTAAGACCCAACGTGGAATACTGTGTCCAGTTTTGTTCCTTCCAGTTCAAGGGGAAGCTGGAGAAACTGGAGAGGATTATGGCGTTTCTCAGGGGTCAAGAGCATGTGCCTAGGGGGAGGGTTAGAGGGAGCTGTGCTTGTTTAGAATGGGAAAGAGAAAGGGTAAGGAATGATAACTGCTTGTAGACTGCTAGAAAGATGACAAAGCCAAAGTTATTGGTAATTGCAGGCAATGTAACGAGATGACCAGAGATAGCAGGTTGAGAGGCTGAACTCTGGAAAAACTGAGTTCAGGGAGGGTAGTACTGCACTGGAACAGGTTATCCATAGGTAGTGAACTCTTCATCCTTGCAGGTTTTCAAGACTTGGTGTTACAAAACTAGAATCCTATGTTGGCAGTAGTCCTTCTTCAAGTGGAAGATTGAACTAGACAATGGAACTGGAAGTTACTACACAATGAAACTGCCTGACCAAAGAGGTTAAAAACCACCATTCCTGAAGATTTATAAAACTCAGCTGGACTCAAGCATAAACATTCAGATCTAATCTTGAGGCTAGTTATTGTCAAAGTGAGCAGAACTTCAGTCATTAGCTGGAGTAGAGTGAAGTTTCCAACAACTGAGCACTACTCCTTGTCTCCACTCATCTTCTTTTCAAACAGGGTGGATTTTGAAGGTTTACTGGAAAGACAGCATAAATTGAATAATTCAAGGAAAATTATTCTGATTGTCAGTGTCCTCATCTTACAGTTAATTGGTTTCTCTTCTTACCACCTCTGTGGTACTTCTACCTCTCAGACTGGACTAGATGACTTCCAGAGGTCTCTTCCAACCTAAACTTTATGATCTGTGAGATTCCTGCAGAGAGCCCTCCCATCCTAAATTGCCATGATTCTTAAATCACTGGATATTTTCTTTGAAATGGTTGCAATCTTTTTCTTTCCTGGCATTTAGAAAACTTTAAGGCAGTGCAGCTTCATGTTGCAACTCATCAGCATGTGCTAACCATGTTAACATGAGGTGGTTAAAATGGTAACGTAAGTCTTTTAGCCTCATATTATAGGATCAAAGATGTCACTTGTCCTGAGAATTATTATTTGTCCTGTTGCTTATCAGCACAGGAACACCTGTGCTGATAAATACTTAAGAAGTGATAAGTTATGTACCGTGCAGTAGCTGATTCTCTGAAGCAGTTACTGGCTTAGACTGCCTTGTTTTACCAAGGTTTCCCTCCCTCCTCATGTTATACTCTGATAGGGATGAGATGATTACACATTCTAATCCCCATAACTTCTTTTTGGAGACTGTATGTATATGCAGCTTAGAGGTTCACTGGTATATACACAGAAAAAAACCATTCACAAATCTTTTCACTGTTTATGTGGAGTAGGCGTGCCCACCTCGGTTCAATCCATACAGACTTCTTGTGTGGGATTCAGCTGCCTGAACATGGACAGGTTTGTAGGGTACCCTGCAAGTTACGGCACAAGTCTCCCATAGTTTTTTTTCATCAAGGATGCCTGGTAGTTCCTGAAAGGGCAATATGTGTCTAGGTTTAGGCTTCTGAATCCTGCTCTTTAAAGAAACTGCAGCCACTTCAGGGCCAGTAACTGTTCTCTGTGTGTAATGCATCTGTTGCAGTAGTATGGTGGAAACCCTGTGATGTTGCTAATAATACTTTTTCATTTTCTAGCCCCATCAAAGAAGAAAGCAAGGTGAGAATACTACCCCCACAGGGGAATCAAAAGAGATTTTTTTTATCTACTTTTCTATAACAAACATCATGACATATGGGGAAAATATTTTATATTGTCTTTCCACTGTACTTATTCCTCTTTCGTAGATTGTTCCTTTTTGTCTGTGAGGAAATAGTAGCTATGGCTTTTGAAATATTGCACTCAAAAAGAAATTGCAGTTGAAATTTCCAGATGTTTCCAGTCTATTTAGGATGCCATAGGCTGAGTAAATTGTACAAAATCCACTTCTGTTCATTTAGGAAGACAAAAAAACCCTACCATTACTTTAGTCATCTCCTTTGAGATCCTTTGATCTGTAAAGAAGTTCATGAGTACTACTGATCTCTTTGAGAGTCATGCAGAATAAGGACCTTTATGGCATATTTAAAATACTGTTATTTCTTAGAGAAAGATATCCTGTATTGGTAAGTGATACAAATTTGGAAACTGAAATATTTTGGTTCTGGATGCTGTGAGTAAAACTAACTTTTTAGTAGTTTTTAGAATGCATCTTAATATTTCAATTTCTTTCTTTTAAGGTGGGAAGATGATTATAAGCATGAGGTATGTAGAGGTAAAATGCAGTAATTCTGCAAGTATCTTATGTTGTAGCAGTTTCCTTATGCTGAACTGCAGTTTCCCTTCTCTGTTTTGCCCCTCTTGAGATCCAAGGTATTCTATTCTGAAGGTTTGGTTTAAATTTTAAGATACGTCTAAAGGTTCACAATTGTTTTTTCTAAGTCAAAGGTGAAACTCAAAGTGATCAAAGTATCTGCCTTAACCAGCACTGGGCACAAACACTGAGAACTGCCTCGTTTTTATCGTAGTGGCAGAGGTTGGTTGTGTAGGCCTGAGGCTGGTCAGGTACCGTGCTAAATACAGCTGAGCACTTGACTTTTTTAAACATGATTTTGATCCTGAGTGAGGAAAACCTGGGAAAGATAGCTCCTGTAGGGGTGTGGCTTAGATGTGAAATGTGCTCTTCCTGGTATTGAAAGTTGTATTTGTAGTAGCTGCTACCTAACTGTTAGTGAGGCTTTAAGGTTACATGTTTATGGCTGTGACCTAAAATTACTGTCTTTTCTTTGTGATGACTTGTTGTTGGATAAAAGATCAAAAGATCTTGTTTTGTGCAAGATGATGCAACAAATATTATAGTATTCAATCTTTTAATTTTTCTCCCCTATTCTACAATTCCACAGAATGATCCTTTTCGGAAACAAAAAGCCCTAGAGTTCTTGGTATGTATGTAAAATAATTGTGACGAGTTGTGCAGTTTCACCAATGTGATGCAGTGAATATTGTGAAGGAGCCTCTGATTCCTGACCAAACTCATTTGACCACAACAATAATTTCTAAATTCTATTTTAATGGACTCCGCTCTTTGAAAAGCTGGTTCAGTTGTAGTGTAATGTCAACTCAGAACAACTTGGTGGATTAAATGTGGGCTCTTGGCCTGTTCTCTGGATGACTCTTCCCTTTGCTGAGGAGTCACTCTGAGAAGCAGTGTCAGTTTGCAGCACTGATGTTGCTCAAGTGCTGTTGGCTGCCGATATCTTATGGGGTTGGTGATAACACTGAACAAGAGGAGCCGGTCTGATGTTGCTGCCTGGGATGCCGGGGCTCGTGCTGCTGCTGCAGAACCAGACAGCCAAGTGAAACTGAGGGATATGAGAGCGCAGCTGCTGGTGTTGGAGTGAGTGGGGAAGTTTTATCAGTTGCTGTTGGCAGTGGTGTAGTAAGCCTTGGTTTGTCTTCTGGGTTCATGCTGTGAAAATATCTGACCATTTGTATTCACCATTTTACTCTGTGAAAGTCATGTCCTGTACCAGCAATTGGAAAATTTTATTTGAGTTTGAATTGTGTTTATACATGGAAATCACAAGTAGAATGTTTTGAGATTTGTGCTTAATTTCTTTTAAGCCATGGCTACTTGTGACTTTGGAAAGAGGGAGTCAAAAAGCAAGTTTAAGGGATAATCAGTAAACCACTAAAAATACTTGATAGATAGCTAATTGACTTCTATCTACAGGAATCATGGCTATTCCTTGTGGCAGACTGCCTATATTCTTTTAACTTACTGTAATCACTTAAAACTTTATAAACTTACAAATCAGTCTGAGGCATACTTTTTATTCAATTTTCTACACAGAAAACATAAATTTAGGACTTGTGCCCTTCTCCATCTGCAACAAAATGTTCATGATTGACAGTAAAGGAGTGGCAGAGAAATCCGGGTTTATGCTTATCAGACCATAATTATGTTCACAATTTTATATTTGGATATGTGTGTGTATACATTTATTATATGTCTTACATATCAACTAATAGCATAAATTTGGTTATACAAAAATCAAAGTTTAACTTTGATCTCTTTGTGTATATGACCCTTCGGCATCCTAATAACCAATTTTAATCACGTTTTTCAACAGGAGACTTTTCACATCACCTCAGACTCAGAAGCAACACTTGTTGTTCGCATCACACAGGAACTCACAGAGGCTTTGAAGGCCTTTTGTGAAAAGAAAGCAGCAGTAAGTAACCTAATCTTGACCAGAGTTTTTTTGCCATTGGGAGGAAAGGAGTTAACACCCTGCCAAACTGTACTGTTATAAACTCTAATGGTTCAGGCATGGTCAAAAACCCCAGTTAAATGTACTTGTCATCCTTTTTTTATAGTTGGTCCCTTGCTTGATAGCTCTTCTTCTAAGATTAATCAGGCTTTAAGTGCCACCCAAATAGACCACTTCTTTCTTTCGTGGGCATGTGGGTAAGTCTATCTTTCTAGTGACCTGTAGCTCAGTTGAGAGCTTTAATCTATTAAGACTAAGGTATGCAAGATGTTCTTGACTTCCTGTTGGGCCCCTACAAACCTCCATAGCTTCTTGGCATAAAAAGTTGGATACCTGTTGAAAAAAAGGGTCTGAAGAAGGACCAGAATTTGTGAATAAATGATTCATCACCTCTGGTAGCTACTGGTTCACAAAATTCAGCATTTGTTTTTAATGGAGGATGTTTCAGACTGTTTTCTCAATATATCCCATGTCAGCTGAGGTACAGTAACTATCTCTGTGCAAATGCCACCATCACCACCAGTTAAACATTGTTGCTGTAGCTTAATCTCTCAGCTGAGCCTTCCATTTTGCACTTCCCAGCTAAAGACAGGATGTGCATATGAACCAGTTTTATATTTTAGCCAGATGATGATGACAGATACGAGGCAATAAAGAAATTTGAAACGGGAGGCATTGTCTTCCCCAGATACTTCATTCCATTCTCCAGGTGTGTACCTGTTCCAAATAATACTTTTGAAAATTGAGGTATAGTGTGGTCAATGTGAACAACAGAACAACACATCCTTCATGTGGATTTTGCTTTCACCTAAAATTGTACTCTAGTAACTTTCTTTGAGAAATTTACTATTTTTTTTTTTTTTAGAATGTTTAAGATTTGAGTTTAAAAACAGACATTCTGACCTTTTGCTTTACCTAGGTTAATTATGCTAATAGTCTGAGGCCACTGATGTCAATATCTCAAGATGAATTTCCAGGAAAGAAAAGCATCCCAAAACACTATAAGCCATATGGAAAATACAAAGGTAATTTAGATATTTTGTTCCTCATTTAAGTCTACTCTTGAGACTGTACAGATTGTGAAAAAATTTACTTTAATGGCCAGCCAGAGTGCTTCTTCGCTAGCATGCTCTGGTTCTGTGCCCTCTGAGTCAGTTCAGGATATCATTTTCTTAAGCCTTAATGACTTCAACCTCAACTAAGAACATTTCTGTCTCACTGAGTAGTGTTACAGCAATAAAGGTTATAGGAAATCCAAGCAGTGACCCTTCCTGACCTATTTAATGTTAGAATTTTTGGGTGAAAAGATGGCAGGCTCAGGTGAGACATAAAGGCAAAAAATGGGAAAAGAACAGAAGGACACTTCATAGAATCACTTCATAAAATCTTGTGTTTGCAGTTGATATTTTAATATTTTGCTAACTTTTAGTGCCCTTTCTTTATTTATTCAGGAAGTTCTAACTGGAATCAAGGTTTTTTGTCTCAGTATGAAGAGTACTCTGCAGATGCTTCTTTTGCTCCTGCTCACTTATACAGTTACCAAACAGATGATGGATCATCTTCCTGTCATATGACATCTAATGACATTGCCATGATGTCTGCACTCAGGGACTCTTCTGCTCTTCAGACTGGAAGTCCTGCCAGTGGTGTCAGTGAATGGCTGGGACAGTTCAGCCGATCTGCATCTGGCAGTAATTCAGCTGGTGGGGCCTCTTCCTATGAGACGAGCCCAGTGAGGGAGTACTCAGCAGAATATTTGTCCAGAGACGTGCAAGGAAGTGAACTCCGTGATAACAGGCTCTCATATGGCAGGGAAAATACAAAATGGAGGAATCAACAAGCGTGTACAAAAGCATGGACTGTAAGTGATCAAGGATTATCCTATCCCAGTTCTACAGCCTCGTATCCTTCATCTGGGAGATACTCCACAAATGATCCATTACAAAGGTATTCCTCTTACAAGAATGATGAGTCTGTGAATACTTGTACATCTTCTGCAAGTTCTGCTGTTTCAGGAAGAGGTGTCTCCAGGTGGCACCAGGACACCAGGTGGAATGAGCGGAATGAGGACTCTAGGTGGAACCAGAGCTTTAGCTGGAACCAGGAGTCTAGCTGGAATCGGGAATCTAGTTGTCAAGGATTCAGGCATCAGAAAGCAGGCTACAAGAGTGACTGGACTTCACATCAGGACTCATTTTCTGGCAGTGGTTCACACAGAGATTACCAGCAGTTCAGAAGCTCAGATAGGATGTTTGACGAAGATGATGTTGGTCTTGCTTCCAACACTGTGAACAGACTACAAGGAAAGGATATACCTACAATGACCAGGATGCTCAAACAGTTGGCTCCGTATTATCCAGTACTTCAAAGTAAGATTGTGATTAGTTTGCATATAAAATGAGTTACATCAACGTAGTTGCTTTAACACAGGCAGGAGATTGTGTGTTGTGTGTGTTGCAGAGACAGGACGTGCTGTTCAGGGGAGTCGTTTTCTTTTTGCTCAGTGTCTGTATCCGCTGGAGAAAGGTGGTATGGCCTCTCTGAGGACACTGTGCCTCTTGACAACTAAACAGAGCAGACAGTCGGAGGAAATTTTGATAGAATAAAAATTTCCTGAATGGAAAGGTTTGTCCTAGGTCATCACTCTAAGTAGCATTTTATATCATGACTTTGTACGGTTAGGGTCGCAATGTTACATTGCAATATGCTTATGTTGTTAGCATATTTTTAGAAATTGATACACTACATTTCTGTTTAGACAAGCAAAGGAGAATGTCACAGCAACTGCATTCTCTGTCTTAATGTGGTGCTGTATGAGGAATATGTAATTTATTCTAGAGAATGTATTGGCATAAAGAAAAACATATTGTAATGCATGCAGAACCAAACCTGGATGGCATTATAATAAATAATCCAAATGGATCAAACCCACTGGGATAACATTAATGTTATCAAAGAGCTGGTTCATTATATGACAATTTATTTTTTTCTAATTATTGTAGCAATAGTCCTTAATGTTAAGAATAGTGATATAGTATTCAAAATAAAAGATTCTCCTTTGGAAATAGATTATGAGAAGGGTTTAAAGGGAGGTGGGCATAATGTACTGTATACCTGTCATTTGGACAAATGCAAACTGTGCTTCTGGTACTAGAATTAGTTAATTAACTAGGAAGCTAGTTAAGAGGAAAACTTCATTTTAACATTTTCTATGCTGTGTTATGTGAAAGATCATGAAATAGAAGTAACTTTAAATATCTTTATTTCCTCTTTCTAGAACTAAATATTCAGACATTAGTCAACGTGCTAGTAGAAACTAGAGGAAAAGACTGAGGAGCAACAACAGCTTAACTGGAAACAGATGAAGAGATTCAAGAGTCTCCATCTCTTGCCTTTCAGGAAAGAGCCTGCATTTAATTCTGCATTTAACTGGTTTTGGAAGGGTAAAGGGAGGTAGGGTTTAATTTTTTAACCTGTAAAATATAGCTGGAACACAAACTTGCACATAACGGATGAACATACTATTTTGTTTAGGCTTTTTGTAATGTATTTGTTACATCTTAGTATATTACAGAAAAAATCTTTTGTTATTTTTTGAAAATATGTTAAAGTTATTCCATCAGCAGAAAGACCTTTTAAACCTTTTAACACCCTTCCCAATTCAGAAAAAAAGAAAAAAGAAGTTTTATGTTACCTCCTTGAGAAGAATATTAAAAAATACTGGTTTACTTTTCTTCACACAAACGTAAGGCCAATTCTATTAATTGGAGGCTTTATAATTGGCATATTTTTAGAAAGTGATACACTGCATTTCTGTTTAGACAAGGAAAGAATGTCACAGCAAAGCAATCTGTCCTAATGTGATGCCATATGAGGAAAATGTTATCTATTCTAGAACTGGTAGGTAATATGGCCTATTACTTTCATTTTTGCATAGTATAAAGAGGTTTGAAATATATGCAGATTTTATTATATTGTTCAGAATGAAATTGCTATAAATTTACTTAAAAACTCATTTGATGGATTGACCCGTCCTAAAAATAAAAAATCTTGATTCTTTCTACTGGCAAAAGCTTATCAAGAAATAGTAGAATCCATAAGGCACTCAGATAAAATAACAGGAAAAAAAATAATCAAAATGTCATACTAACTGAGGAATACTTACCAGTTCATGATGTTTATCAGTGGTCTGTGTTTTTTTTTTCTTTTCCCCACACTTCTGGGCCGCATGCTGATAAATTCCTGGCTTTGGATGTCTGCTTTATGTAATTAAAACCACCTTACATGGAGCTGACATAAAGTAAAGTGAGACAGTTTACTCCCCAGGGTCCATTTTCCTTCTCACTGCTGTGTTGTGGACTATCATTTTTCTTCTCACCCATACCTGAACTGTGTCTGAGCATTAAATACTTATGCTGAAGCAGGATTAGTCTTCATGAGCCTGACAAAATAAATTTTAAATCCTCTCATGTAAATTTTAACAAAAACTCATAGCAATTTATTATTGAGCATATAAACTCAATTCCCTAAAACGTTACAGTTCTTCTGTAATTACTTTGCTTCTGCATCTGAAAAGATATGCTTTCCTTTTGCATTCCTGTTCACTATTTCCCTTACTTCCTCTCATACGTACTGGTGTGAGTGGTTTAAAATGGCATACACTTAGTAGTTGTGCCATACACTTTTATCCACTGAATTACATAGTAATTCTTCTTGCTTAAAGGGGAAAAGTAACATTTCCTACCACAGGTGTCTGCCAGTTTTGATTTAAAACGCTGTGGGACTGATCAGTTATTATCTACATTTAAAAATTATCAGAAGTCATTTACACAAATGTTACTACCACAGAAAGTGTAGTGCAACTAAAATTCTGAAACTGTAGGAAAAAATAGGCTTTGGCACAGAGGTAAGCATTTTGAGGCTGCACCTGAGCCCTTTGCATCAATTTCACATTTCCTTAGAAAGCCATTGATAAAAATACAGGCTAGAACATGCACTGGGGGGTAAATGGTCTATTTTTCAGCCATTTTCCTGGTCTGTGGTACGCCTGCTTTCATACCTTCAGATGTGTGTTATCCACTGGGACAAGAGTTGTTTTAATCCAGAGCCACCTGGGTGATTCTTTGCAGCAGTGATGCTCCTTCACAAAGTGGAAGACAGTGAAGCAGAACAAGGACAACTGGACACAGAGACATCCTTTAGAAAAGACAACTTGGGAAGTCTGTCAGATTCCAGCTTTTTTAGTTTTGTAGCTTAGACCTATTAATGCTCCTTAAAACATTTCCCAGGATTACGGTACTTCATGTGGGTGCATGATCCAAAAGGACAGATTCCTCAGTGGGAAAGGAATGAGCAAGTTCTTTTTAGCCCAAAACATTGGGGCTCTTCTGTTAATGTTTTGTTTTGGAAAAGAACGTTTCTAGTGATCATCTCAGCCTTCTGGGGAGGGAAGTTTCAAGCAGTAACTGGTGGAAGTCTTTCTCCCTTGAAGTAACTTTCACAGTTCATTCAATGGTGTTGCATGAGGTAGTTTCTGATATTAGCCATTATTTTTGCCCCCTTGTCCTTTGAGTGGCAATGCCCTAAGTGCTTTGAGAGAATTCCTTATTTTGGTGGGCTTATGCCATGGAGACCATTGGTCTCTTCCCAGATATTTCACACCAGAAGAGTGTTCAGTGTTGCTGTCACTAAGGGTCTTGATTATTGACAATTAGTAGCAGCTTTTCTGCACAGCAGATTTTTGACAACTGCAGGGTTGCCACTTTGCTGTCTTCACCCTGACACCAGACACTCTACCTTGGCTAAGACACAGAGTCACAGAATATTCTGAGTTGGAAGGGACCCATAAGGGCCAAAGATGCTTTAACCGACTGAGCTGATCTCAGGGTCACCCAGAAATAACATTGTAACCTTGAGTTTTTTTGTTAACTTCTCTTTGCTTCCTCCAAGTTGTTTCTTGCAGAGTTACTGCAGGAGATAGTGTGTGACACAGTCATTAATTGTTTTGCTTCAGTTTTTCCACTGTGTCTCATCAGCTGTAAATGGTGAGGTGTAGGGTAACCTTACAAGTGTGTCTGACTGTCAGTTCAAGGCCACTTCAAATAAGTGCTTCAGCACAAAGTAGAAGAGAGCTGATGTTAAATGAGATGACTAAGCAGGGGGAACACATTCAGACTAGTCAGAGTTCATTTTTGGGCGGAACTTATCAAGTAAGATGCAGTAATGGACAAAGGTGTGAAGAAGTTGTATTTGAAGCTCGCCCAAGGATACCCTGGAAAAAGGAGGCAGGGAGAGATCCCTGAGCTGTAGAAATACAGAAATAAAGCCACCACCCCCTTAAAGCTGTACAAGAGTGAAATAGACTACAAAAGTTGATCTAATATTTTTACTTAATTTTAAATTCTGTATTAAAAATTAATACATTAAACTCTTATAAAAGTAAGGCACATGCAAAACATGTTGTGCAACTTCTGACTTCCAACTCTTTTATAAACTAACAAGCATTATTTTCATTTGGCATTTCTAAAGAGTCATTTTTCCCATGCAGGATATGTGAAATAGGTTAAGTTTGACATTGCACCAGTTAAATCTAGATTCTGTGCTTTCTGTACTACAGTAAGCAGAGATGGTCATATCATACAATAATACAAAATAAAAACCAACTCAAGTACAGATTCTTAAGGTGATGACCAACATACAAAATTTAAGAACGTGAAGTTACATCCATTATAATACATCAATAATCTGATTCAGTACACGATGATTTGGCAACTCCAGTCTGTGTAATGCCAGTGTGTAATTCCTAGTTATCAGTGTCATACGATGCTGAAGACCATGGAAAGATACTGCTCATAGGACACCTGGATCCAGCCATCTTGATCAGTGTCGTATCGTCGGAACACATCAGTCAGCCTCTGAGGAGGAGAGAAAAAAGTACACATTTTTGTTTCTGAAGGTTCAGACTGCCATGTGTTCCTCCTGCCGCCCGGCTTCTACAGCTCTGTGAAACCCTTTCTGTTCATCCCCTCTGTAGCCATTTTACAGTCTTGTGTGTATAAAGATAGCTCTTTGCCAATAATGATACAACACCCAAGTCTGTCTCTGGGCACTTTATAGATTAGACAGCTTTTTATAACTGGCTTTAAAGGGGAGGTAAAAACAATGCTACATTTGAGACTCATTTGGAAACAGAATCCAACACATACCTTGTGCATTTCTTACCTTCTAGGCAAATATGCCCTTATGCTAGAGTTCAAGTTTATAACTAATTTTGATTGCCTTATATTACAATTGAGTATCAAGGCAACTGATGTTTCAGCAGACTTACAGTTACAGACATAAAGCTGAAAGGAGAAGAACAAGAAAGACACAAGACACCTGAGTGCAAATAACAGGGATACTACTTTTACAGGATACTGCTTTCCCTTCATGTCTGCATATCAAAAGATATCTTAAGATATTCTTGCAGTGCTGGCCAGCAGAAAGAGCAACACACTTTTTCCTATTCTACTAAAACTCAGCTTGTGTACTCCTACAGTTTTCCAGCTTTTCCACAGAATCTTATATACATTTCAGAAAAATCAGTAAGCTTTAAGAAACCTTAAGCAATGAAGTGAGGAATCACCTAGTGACTGATTTCTAAACAAAGAAATACACCTGCAAATCTACAGTACTCTCTCTCAAAGGTTTTTGTTGGTTTATTTGAAATGTCTTTTACTACCGTTGTCCCTGAAGGTACTGCTGTGATGAAAGACTGAGTAATTCAGCTGCTAGGTCAAACCCCTTTAATCAGAGCCTTAAACACAGAGATACACAAAAAAGTTGTAAGAATTATGGGCACCATGGGACATGACACACTCCATTTTTGACACTCAGGCTCCAGAAGAAGTGTGTGTATTAAACTAATGGAGATAGTGTTAACTGTTGTCCTTTCAAAACACAGAGACTATTTTACATTTTTTTTCCTTCCCAATTGTATCAAACTTACTTGTGATGCAAAATGGATACGTAATGAAGACCGATATATGAAGATGTTTCTAGCTCCTCTCGTATACTTAGTTCAAATGGTTTATTATAAATAAATCTTTTGTTTATTGTTCTAGATCCACTGCCAGAACCATAAAAGCTTAAGAAAAGGTAAATTTTTTTCAATTGGCATTAAAGCACATCTCATTTCTTACCTGTAAAACAACACAGCACTGAATAAAGTCATCAAAAGCAACTTGTCCTCTTCCTTGTCTATCAAATTTCCGAATAAGGATATCGTAGAATTGATCAGACAGTCGGTAACCTTGGAAAAAGAGAAATGCTTTACAAGGTTTCAAATACCACAGTCCTACAGAAAGAACAAGGCTGTTCAGCAGGCATGTGTCACTAAATGAGAAAACAGTGGGGAGTTAAGACTGATCTTTTTTCTAAATATCTGTTATAAAAGGCATGCAATAAAAACCATGCTTAATAATAATTAAACCCAGAGTCATAGTAAATATAATTACTGATTAAGGCAACTAATTGGTTGAGGGAACGGTTTAGGGCTGCAGCTCAAGTCTGTACAAGTGAAGTCACTGGAACGTGAGTTCTTTTGCCATCAGAGTGCTCTCGTAAGCATAGACAGCTGGCTTTGTTTTAAAAAGTGGCAAGCTGTAACAAGTACCTGGGAAGTTCAGACATTTGCCTGAAGCGCTGGTAACGCTCTCAGAGCAGAGAGAGGAGGCTGGAACTAGATGTGTCAGTACATGTGTGGGTTGGGTTTTTTTTTCCATTAAAGGGAAGAGCTTTAAAAAAGAAAATGTGCTTGTGGCATGGACATCATTAAAAGGAACCTTACAGCTGAAAAGGTAGCTGCCCTTCACCTGCCTCATTTTTAGTCACATTTGTCAGAGCAGTAAACCCCTAACAATAAGAAGCTCAATTGATGACATAACTCAATCATAAAAACTGTAATTACAAATGAATTACCAAAACCTGTTAGTGCCTGCTTTAGTTCATTTTTGTCAATCATTCCAGAATTGTCTCTGTCATACGTTCGAAAGACGTTCTGCCAGTCTGTGATGTACTTCCAGACTCCCGTGAATTCATTGAAGTTCACACCACCTTTGTTTTCTCTGTCAAACATACCTGAAATAAAAATTAAGAAACCCAAATAAAACCTGAATCCTGCTACTCCTCAGCAAGGATTTTGCCAGTATTTTAAGAAGACGGCAAGAGCACTTTGTATAGGGCACTGAAGACAGAAAAGAAATTGATAAAATAAAAGTGATATTTTGGAAAAATAAGAGAAAGCAAGTAGTCATCCTCTGAAGGAGAAAGATAAAGAAAGATGAAAGATGAACAGAATGAATTGCAGAAAGCTTATTTTTCCTGGGTTTTCATTTTCAGTTTGAAAATATTGAGGGCTTGATTGATCATCCAGTGATCAATCAAAATGGGCAGAGGGATGGGTTGTTCTTTTCTAAGGACACATTAAAAAGTCTTAAGTTTATTCCCTGCCAAAAGTACTGGGATATTCACCTGCACCTACTGATACTGTCATCTTTATACAGAAAGCATGTGACACAGCAATGGAATTCAGAGCTGAATACTTATTGAAAACAAAGCAAAAACTTTAGTCCTTGGATTTATGAACTGTGTCACAGAAAAGAGTTATTGTGCTTGAATTTTTATCCTATTCTACCACCATCATCTTCCACATTACTGGCAATTATTTTAGGACACCGAAGAAAATTCAAACATTTTAAAGCTGGTGTTTGGTATTTCTGGAGCAAAACATAGGATTAAAATGCAAGACAGGAAAAACTACTTAAAAAGACAAGCTATATAATATCTTTTTAGAATATCTGACGATTTCCCCATGCATAAATTACGTTCACTATCTATTCAGTTTGTCAGTAAATTTTCTCAGGCTACTTCGACCAGTGCACGTGTGTGCACAAAAAGGGCATCCCTGCATTCATCAAAAGGCAAAGTATTTGAACTCAACTTCCTACTGCTGGACACTCTGAGGAAAAATAAAAAAAAAAACAACAGTGCAGCAATTGATAGCATTCTCAATCATCTGAATGATCACAAAACAGTATCTTCACCATTTCACATCACACAACTACACTCACCAAGAATTGACCTGACTGTTGCTGGATTAAATGGAGTCCATGTGCCT